CTCTCTCTCTCTCTCTCTCTCTCTCTCTCTCTCTCTCTCTCTCTCTCTCTCTCTCTCTCTCTCTCTCTCTCTCTCTCTCTCTCTCTCTCTCTCTCTCTCTCTCTCTCTCTCTCTCTCTCTCTCTCTCTCTCTCTCTCCGCGTTCACGTCATTCAACTTGATAAAATTTCCATCGTAGCGACGTTACGGTGTAAATCCTGTTCTCCAGATCCTAGTTAGCAAGTCTGCGAGCAGGAGAATTGGAAGTATGTTTCGATTAAAATACAATTAAGCTGGGATTCATAGGCCGGGAAATTAAATTAACATAAATTAGCATCGGAAGCGCACGAGCGCCGTTCGCGCGTATTAAATTTTATTTAAGCGAGGGATGCGGAAGTAATATATATATATACTATATATAATATCTATGATCATTAATGAACGCGAGTTTCCAGCCGTTTGTTCGTCCACTCTTTCCGTCCTTCGCACAATCGGATGCGTTCCCATCACTGAAAACGAATCTGATTGATTTCTGCTCGAACGGTATTTTTATCAAATGCAAGCGTAAGAACGAAATTGATACTAATTCGAGACATCTCTTATCTTCTTTGTTAAACGTTTTAGTATCGTCGCGTGGATAACATTCGTTCCTTCAAGGAATATTCTCTTTTTCCCTTCCCTCCACTCCCTCGCGATTTTTCTCGTATTTTCATGAATAAGAATTTTCAATTTGCACTACCGGAAGGGGACTGTTCGCGTACGTGCGCGAGCGGCGGAATTCCTGGAAGATGGCCGTATTTTTACGCGATAATCAATGTATGAATAGTAAAGCGGAAAGTAAAGTTCGACGAAGAAGAGGTCTCGTGCCAGGGGAACCGGGTCGAATCGATAATCATTGCGTCCTTTCCCCTCTCGACCACGCATTAATCTTGGAGGAACGCGCTCGATTTGGCCAGGTAAATCCAAGCTATTATTAAAATACACCCAATTTTTTTTTCGCACCATCGCTCGCGCGGATAATCCTCGTGATCGATCCGTTGTAATATTCGTACATTATTACGATATTTCGGTTACGAATAGGGAGGACCAAAAACGAATATCACGAATATCACGTATGTTCTCCGATCATATCGGATTCGCTTGCGTCGCGTGTCATCGTCCATCCGTGAATTTCCAAGTAGACGCGTGAAAACGCATGAACAGTTTTTTAAAAACTCCCCACTTTGCTTTCCTGCTCTCCAATTTGCTCTTTTTTCTTCTTCTTTTTTTAATCAAACTATATTTCTATCCTTATCTTTTCGCGACTCTAATAGGAAAGAAGGATATCTATCGATCGGTATTCCCGTGCATCCCAGCTCGGCTGTTTAACGCGGCTCGAGCTCGAGCCGTATCCATCGATCATCGATACCGGAATGATGAAATATTTTCAATATCTCTCGTCGCGGCCGTGCTCGAGACATTGTTTTCCACCTGTGACGGGGAGGGAAAGGGAATATATATATACATTCAAGAATGTATCGGTAGCTGTAAATACGTCTTCCAGCCGGAGGAAATCGCAGTAGGGCAGAATGGAAAATGTACTCGAGGGAGCTGACGGACTACGCGCTTAAATCCGGCAATCGATGCGAGCGTCATTCGAGGAGACGCGCGTCGCTTCGTTTTGTTTCTCTCTCTCACTCTCTCTCGGCTTACAAGGAGAGGACGTGGAAAGGAGAGCGGCCGGCTATAGACGTAGACGTGTTACTTTAGCTTCTACGGGTGGGGAGGAAAGAAGGGGAATATAAGGTACACGTGCATCGTACGTGTGTACGGCCGTTGTGTGTTCCCCATCGCGCACGTTGCGGTGCGGCGCACATTTTTCAATTTGTAGCTTTCGTGACAGCCATCTATTCTCCCGTACGAGTTGCGCTTCCTTAAGAATCTCGGGGCGAGATAGTATCGACATAATGGTGGTCGGTGATTTATCGGGGATTAACGAGTAATTCATAGATCTCGCATTAGCCTGGGCCAGCGTTAAGCGTTATCGACCGTGTCATCGAGCCGGGTAAAGGAGGGCGAAGGGGGTGCAGTTAGGATGTACGCGGCTTACGAACGTCATGTGAATGCGAACGATGATTATTATTTTCCAAAGTTTCGAGAAAATAATTTCTCGATATGAGATATCTCGTGCGAGATAACGTATGCGCGAGCAGATGGTTTTTCGTTTCCAAGGACGAAACTTTTGCGGACAGAATTCCTCGATCAAGATAAATTTCTTGATCTTTTTGAAGAAGGTGAGGGGAGGATAAATGTTCCGAGAGAGGAGCGTAAGAACTGTTGGGAGAAGTTTAGCGAAGCTAGGGGACTTGGCAAAGGATCGAAAGAACATTAAGCCTTATTGGCAACACGTTTCACTCCTTCGTTCCTCTGTTCGCAAAGTGTTTTAAACGGACGAAGCGAAGAAGCGTTGAATGTAAAATGGCCGTTTATCGTCATTATTACAAGTATGAACGTTTCTGGAAAATGCACGAATCCATATCGAGCTTCGTATCCTCTCCTCGAACATCCCTAGTTTCTTAGATATTCCTCGTGTAGCAGTGTAGAAACGTACAACACCGTATATATATCCTCCATCCTCGAAACATTCTCGAGAGAGAACAATTTTTTCTACCCATAATGACGCGGTCAATTAAGCACAAACGTTATCGATAAGTTATCTCGTTAACGGAACGGTTAATATTACACGTTTAATAGCCCAGTACGAATTAAGCTTCGCGTTGTTCTCTCAACTTATTAATTCGTATTATAACTCCCTATTCGTGTTTAGTGGCAGTTGAAAGAAAAAGTTGAAAGGTAAACGGTGTCGCGTTTGTGGCGCGGTGTTAAACGCGATACGTCTTTATCCTGGAAATCATCGAAGCGGTGGCGGTATGCATTTACCGACACGAAGCCAGACCGGAATTCATAGCGTACGTATGCATCGAATGACGGAAGTTGGCCGGTGGAACGTTCGCGTGTTAATTATCGTAAAGGGTTCCAACCTCGGGGTGGAAATAGGTACACCTTTGGTCGAAAGATGTCTCGTTAACAC